GGTCTGCGTATATGCAAAATGAATGCAAATCAAATGCCATGTACAAGATTAGAAATTGTGTTCTAATATTTCAGACCATTATTGGTCTGGAAATTTGAAAAAAAAAAAAAAAAACAACAACAAAACAACCCCAAAATTTTTTTTTCCAAAGAAAATATGCAGATCATAATCAGTTTGAAAAAATTTTCGTGAGTTTCACTGTATTCCCGCCAACAATTTTTAGATCGATTATGGTTTGAATATTAGAAACTCACATTGATTTCCTCATGAATTAATATTTAGACCAATAATGGTCTGAATTTTTCAGACCAACATAAATTGGTCTGAATTCCTACAGTTTGAATATCAACAATTTCTAGTAGTGTTAATTGTAAAATAGCAATTTTACTCTCCCAATAATATTTTATTTTCATTTTAATCCTCAAATTTTAAATTCATTCAAATAGGCCCCTAATGTCACATTTTTAATTTTCTATTTCATCACCCAACCTTTTTAGATTTTACAATTAAACTCTTAAAAATTTTCATTTCTTTCATTGAAACTTTGTGTTAGTGCAAAATATAACAAACTTTCTTTCATTTGTTTATCTCTTTTTTTTTTTTACTTTGTAATTTTGGATTTAGAGAATTTGATGGTGATTGATTTATAGGTTTAGAGTATTTTTTAGATTTGGGGTTCAAGGGATTATAGAGTAGCAAATCTTAAAGTGGGATTCGGGGGATTTATTTTTAAAACATGAATGATGGGGCTGGCCGGCTGGGCAAGGATTGCATGAATTTTGGAAAATAGGAAGAGAGAAACCAACAAAGAGTGCATTGGAGAGGGCGGTGGGTTAGGGAGAAGCAAATTTTCAAATGGTTTTGGGTTGATTTTAAAAGGGAAACCAATTAGGGCTAGGTGAGAGATTACGATGAGAAGGCAATGGCAATGGTGAGAGATTACAATGAGAAGGGAAATGCGATGTTTTATTTTTTACAAAATCATTTGATTTTCAAATGAAAGATAGACAAGAAGGCATGTTGAAAGAAGGAAAAAACAAGAAGTAAGGTATCTGGCTACCTTTTCTTCCTTCAGATTAATTTCCATAACCTACCCAAATTTGTTTAATAATGAACTATAAGTTACTGTAGGTGGAGACTATATTATATACATTTTATATTCTTTAAATTAATATTTTTATTATTATCAAATTATGAAAAAGAGTGGCATCAATTTTTTTTTATAGTTTTTAATATAATATATTTTTTTATATTATTTATAACAGTATTATTTCTTTTATAGATTATAAAAATAGAGAATGTAAATATTACATAAAAAAAAAGTGAAGAACAAGTTGACATATTTTACTTTTATTTTTATACTTTGTTAAAAAATAGTTGTTTTAACTTTTTTGTATGTATTCTTATTTTAAATGTAAATCATATCTTATTGTTATTTTAAGACTCTATTCTTTTGAGGAAAAATGGATGTGACCTATTAAAAAATCATAGTATTTTAATCTTATACATCAAATTGCAGGATAATGGTAATAAAAATAGTCTTAATAGGATGAAGGTTCAAATCCCACCCATTACTAGCACAAAATCCCTTTCTTGAAGCTCTTTCAAGAACAAAAAGAATAAACTTGAAAGTGGTGATGAGAGAAAGAAAGATGATCGCTTGGGGGCTTGTGAGTGGAGTGCTTGATCTTGTTTTTTATGATAACCTTACAACTTGATCCTCTGATACTTAAGAAAAATTAGCCAAAAACTGAAATTGAAACTGAATCATGCTATATCCCAACCATGATGTGCTACAAGTTTGGAAACCACTCTGCAATGTTGGAGGTGTAAAAAAAATGAAGAAAATGGTAATTTTTGGGTGATTTTGGCATATATGGTGCGAGGTTGAAGATGAGGAATTTTTTAGAGAAACAATGGAGGTCTAGTGTGTGGGCAAGGAAGCTAGAGCTACTGAAAAATCTATTGTTTTCTGCTAAAAAATGAAGGAAAAATAATATATACATATGCAGTGGCAATTTTATACTTTTTGGGTTAATGGGTCAAGGGTGTCTACTGGCTAATAGGTAGGTTTGGATGAGTTGTCAAGCTTTTAGTGGCTCTGGACACTATTGATAGCTCTTTAGCAGCGGTATCATGAATTACCCAATGGTTCTAACGAAAGACTAGAAATTGATTGTTTTTGGTAATTCCTCCAACCATACAAAATTCCATTTTTGGGTGGATATTTGAGTGCAACTTGCAAACATAAAATCTGTCCAGGATTTTGGAAAATTCCCTAGGCAAAATGCAATCTTTTTTAACCACTTCCAAGGCCATGAAACTTGTGTAGCCACCTTTGCATTGAATATGGCTATAAGTTGCTAATGGTGACCAAAACAACATCTCTGGTTAGTTTTAATAAGATTTTGAACTTCTAGTTAGCATCAGATGGTATGGTTTTGGGGATCGATTCCACATCCACGTCTTCACCACCCAGCCCTCTCTGGCAAAGTCGGGCAACATTGCTAGCGGCAAGCTTCACTAACGCAAATACGTTGCTTCGCCAGATGAGCAACATTCACCCATCCATGCTTACCAAGCCACCATTCCCATAGTTTATCTCGAGTAGTTCCCATGAGCTTGGATTCATGTGCTTGCGTTTATTTGCAATGAAAGTAAGATATGAGTGAGTATATATTCAAATATTTAAGTTTAAGACGTATGGATATGTGCAGCAAAGAAAGGTACTTCCTTGCGTATTAAAGGGGGCGATGTGGATGAATATTTGGTTACGCCCTTTTGTCTGCTGGCCATGGCGAATGCTTGTACAATTGTGTTATATATGGCTAGCATGGCGCCAAGACAAAGAATAAGTGACATAAATGTATACTGCAATATCGTTGTCCCAGGCCAAGCATCATTGGCTAGCGATACATACTAACATGTAGAGCATAAAAGATTTATATTATGAGTTAGGATTACCGGCAACCAATAATTTTGTCCCTTTGTGTGAGAAAAAAATGATATGCATGGCGGTCAATCATGTAAATATCGCAGGGTTAGCCATAAATAGCTTTCTAATAACCAGAGGGACAATAGTGGCTAGCTTTGCCCATGGCTGGAGTTTGTACTATGTGGAATTGGAAGGGCATTCCCACTAATTTGCCAAGTCACGAAGGGGTAAATCTCACTAAGCTAGACTTCACCATAGCAATGAATATGTGATAGAGAGAGATGGAGTTATCTCCATGGAAGGGGGACAACAGTCGCATCTATGGCCTCCAATACGACAAGATGTGATACCATTGACAAATGCTGACCCTTCTTGTTGTACCTGCACCATCAGAGGGTGATCTTGGTTGTTGTTGCCCGTCGAGCACCGCACCACCATGCACAGGTGACCACCAAAGAACCACTGGCCGCTACTTGATGGATTTTTATCACTGGAGGGTAGCCATCCCATCCGATCATAGGATTGCAACTGTTACTAACCTCACACTAATCGTACCAAGCTGAGTAGACTCTTTATCCAGTTCCAAGAGCCAATGAGATCAAATATGTAGAAATCCAACCCTTTTTTCGTTGCAGGGAGCCAATGTGATGAAGATATGCAAAGATATGTAGCCTTTTACCCATTGCTGGAGGCTAAATAAGATAATGAATTTGGCTCTTCGTCCATCACTAGAAGCCACAAGATATAGCAGTGAATATCGTTGCAGGGACATGACCGTAAAAAACATCTAGCTATGTTGTGGAAATAGATCTAGTCATATCTGTCTATGTATATAAAAATGGGTGTTGGAGTGGGTTGCATTTTGCAATACTTCCAACAAAGTAGATGAATGCCGCTTCTAGTGATGCCAACAGAAAATATAAATAGCGTGTTTAATGTAAAGAATAAGTCATGTGGGCTTTGCTAATATGGAGCCGTATATGTCATCAATCTCAAAGCCATACAAATTCATCCCTCAACAATATTTATATCTAATATATATCATTGCAAAATTATATAAAATTTCTATAAAAATTGCAATAAATTCAACACAATACACAATATTTTTCAATACACAATAAGATTTGGTGTTTTTTAGGTGCAAACCGAAAATATCAAAATTTCGAACCAAAATTATTATTTTGGTTTTGGTTATATTTGGTTTTTGATGAAAATTAGATAAAAATTGACATCGACCACTCTATATTCTAAAATGGGTTTGGTTCTGATATCAAAACCTGAAATCAAAAATAGTTGTTCTTGTTTAACCGAAAAAACCAATTTTCTCAAGGGACTATATAAACCATTGTTTATTATTTGATTCAAAATTATGATAAATATTGGTTTTTAATAATATTAAAATAATGGAACGAATGATATCATATTGAAATTTCAAATTAATTGTATAAAATTGAAAGTATTTCAATTTATATTCTTACAATGTGTTATTGTTAGATAAAAGATACTTTAACAAATGATTTTATTAAAATCAAACAAAAAAAAACTGTTTAATTTTAGTTATCGAATTGAAATTTAAAGTCATATATGGTTTGGTGTTTGGGTTTTATAAGCGTACTAAAAAAATTTGATTAATCAAAAATTTTGATAGTTTGGTAAACGGAACTAACACCCAATCCTAATATTTGATATGTACCATTTTAATAATAATGCCAGCTCAGCTGTTGGTAGGTGATTGAGAACCTTGAAATTAATTACTAGATTTTTTAGAATTAATTGGATGGTGATATTATCATGATAAATAATTTTTTTAATTATTTAATTAATTTTTACATAAAAAAATTAAAAATTAATATTTTAAAATAAAAAAATTAAAAATTTACCATTTACTTAAAAATTAACAAAATTTACATTGTTAAATAAAAAATAATAAAGTTCACACCATTTCTCGTGAAAGGAATAGGAAAAGGAAATTCCCGTTGTAAAATGGTAGATTTAAAGGGAATATGCGGAGGGAATTCCCCCTCCAACCTGGCCTCCCTTTTATAATCAAAAAATTTCCTTGTATAATCAGAATTATTCCGGAATAATATTTCTGATTGGTCGGTGAGAGACCATTGCATATAACTGTAATCATGTCTTCCCCGCATTTCTCCACCATAATTTTCTTTCAACTCTTCTTCCATTCCCAACATCCATATTTTTTCTTTTTCTCGAGAAAGTGACAGAAATACAGGTCAGTTTGATGAGAAAGCTTCTACCTTTTCTCATATTTCTCAATGATTTTTTACCCATTGTCGTTTTTTTATTGTTTGAGTTCATGAATGCTTCATGCATTATAGGGACAAGACGATACTGCAGGTGCTTGTAAATTTGGTAGGACTAAAAGTCTAGAGACTTGTGTTATCATAAAAGAAGAAAAACAAGTCTTCCATTTCTTTCAAATATATATATATATATATATATTTATGTATATGTGTGTGTTTTTGTCTAATTTGTGTATATTATCTTCTAAAATAAATTTAAATTTTGGTTTTTAAATTTATATATTTTTGTATATGCACTTGAAATAGAGCATAAAATAAAAAGCATGAAGCAGCATGCAGTACTTAGTTTCTTTTGGTTTTTATTTTTTTCCATTAGAATTATTCTCTTGTTGTTTTCTCTGTTGTTTTGCTGCAAAAATTAAATTAAAGTGATTGAGGCCTGATTTGATTATTTGAAGTATTTCATTTCTGTTGGTTAGATTTGTGATTAATCTTCAGGGCATGCTATATGTTCTTGTGGGTTTTTCTTGTTCATGTGGGTGGGGACCGTGGGGTAGTGTTTCGGTGCTTCTGCATTATTGGGTTGGAAATTCTTATGTCTTTCCTGCACTTACGGGTTTGGGTTCTTGCTTTTCTAGAAGATAAATAATACCCTTTTTGATTTTTGGGTATTCTCACACTAGAAAAGAGCATTGAATGCTTTTCAAAATCAATAGGCTAGCTAACAAGAGGGACCACTTTTCTTGCCCTTCAATTGTCAAAAGAGGGTTAGAAATTTTGAAGCACTTGGACTCGCCACTTTTCTTGACTTAGAGAACCATTGGAAAAACAGTAAGTGACGGAAAAATCAATAGAATTAAAGCATACAAGATTCCATGCACATTGGTGTTCACACTTTTACTCTAATATCACGACTGCTTGTAAATTGTTGGTTTACTGACATCATAATCCGCTAAATGGTTGGCAAATCTCAACAGATGCTTTCATGGTCGAGTTAGACTTGCTGATTTTTTGTAATTAGATTCTGATAGCAGCCTGGAAGATAGTGCTGCTTTGTATATGGATTTTGGTATATAAGTAATAAAATTCACATTTTACCTAAAAAAATGGTTGATTTTATTTTCTTCATTCTAATTAGTCTTGTATTAAGAAACCATCCTGTGCGGTCAATGTAGAAAATAAGGAAGAGCTCCCCTTTTAATACACTTTATATGGTTGTTTATTCTCTTGGTCAACGAAGTTAGTTCCATTTCTTGGACTGTAATTGTTCTGTGTGACATCAATTATTGTCAGAGGTTTTGATGCTGACATGTGCATTTATCATTTTTTTTTTTATAAGAACAATGGGTAGAGATTAATATGTTAAAGGTGTTAATGGGAAGTATTAAACCTGAGACTTAAGAGTACAAATCACGAGCTGCCCTTTAAAGCAGTAAGTGGTCACTGAGCCACGGTACGTGAAATGCGTGCATTTATCATCTTTTATTATTATGATAATCGTGCATTTATCTTCTTGGCTAAGAAAAGTCAGCTAAGGAGATTTTTATATCAATTCATGGTTATATTTAAGATTTTTTTTTTTTTTTTTTTAAATAGGCCATGGAGTTATACTTAAGATGTTACGTTGTGTGCTTTAGTGGTAACATGTGTTCTGCTTGATACTTCTCAGGCAGGAATAGAGGAAGAGAGGAGTTTGTGCTCAAGCTAGCAAGGCATGGCTGGAGAACAATTGCAAGTGCTGAATGCACTTGATGTAGCCAAAACACAGTGGTACCATTTCACAGCAATCATCATTGCTGGGATGGGTTTCTTCACTGATGCATACGATCTTTTCTGCATATCTCTTGTTACAAAATTGCTTGGTCGCGTCTATTACCATGTTGAGGGTGCAGCGAAGCCAGGAACATTGCCTCCCAACGTGTCAGCTGCAGTTAATGGTGTGGCTTTCTGTGGAACTTTAGCAGGACAGCTCTTCTTTGGTTGGCTTGGTGACAAACTTGGCCGAAAGAAGGTCTATGGGATGACTCTCTTGATGATGGTCATCTGCTCTATTGCTTCTGGTCTATCTTTTGGCAGTAGCTCCAAATCTGTCATGGCTACTCTGTGTTTCTTCCGGTTCTGGCTTGGCTTTGGCATTGGTGGTGATTATCCACTTTCTGCCACCATTATGTCTGAATATGCTAACAAGAAGACGCGTGGAGCGTTTATCGCAGCTGTCTTTGCTATGCAGGGCTTCGGAATTCTAGCAGGGGGTATATTTGCTATCATTATAGCGTCTGCATTCAACTCCGCGTTTGAAGCTCCACCTTATAAGGTTGATCCATCAGGCTCAACTGTTCCTCAAGCGGACTATGTTTGGCGTATTATTTTGATGTTCGGAGCTCTCCCAGCTCTTCTTACCTACTACTGGAGGATGAAGATGCCTGAAACTGCACGTTACACAGCCCTTGTTGCCAAGGATGCAAAGCAAGCTGCATCTGATATGTCAAAGGTACTGCAAATGGACATTGAGGCAGAGCCTCAAAAGGTTGAGAAGATTGCTGAATCAAAGGCCAAATTTGGTTTGTTCTCTAGAGAGTTTCTTCAGCGTCATGGGCTTCACTTGCTTGGAACAACAACCACTTGGTTTTTGCTTGACATAGCTTTCTACAGCCAGAATCTCTTCCAAAAGGATATCTTTAGTGCTATTGGGTGGATTCCTCCTGCAAACACCATGAATGCCATTGACGAAGTTTTCAGAATTTCTAGGGCGCAAACGCTTATTGCTCTCTGCAGTACTGTTCCAGGTTACTGGTTCACAGTTTTCTTCATTGACAAAATGGGAAGGTTCGCTATCCAGTTGATGGGTTTCTTCTTCATGACGGTATTTATGTTTGCCCTCGCTATTCCTTATGATCACTGGACACACAAGGATAATAGAATCGGGTTTGTGGCGATGTACTCATTGACATTCTTCTTCGCCAACTTTGGTCCTAATGCCACCACATTTGTTGTACCAGCTGAGATTTTCCCAGCAAGGTTGAGGTCAACTTGCCATGGTATATCAGCAGCATCTGGTAAGCTTGGTGCTATTGTAGGCGCATTCGGGTTCTTGTACTTGGCTCAGAACAAGGATAAAGCCAAAGCAGATGCAGGGTATCCTGCAGGTATTGGGGTCAAGAATGCTCTTCTCCTGTTAGGTGGAGTCAACGCCTTGGGCTTTTTGTTCACCTTTTTGGTCCCTGAGTCCAAAGGGAAATCATTGGAAGAAATGTCAGGTGAGAACGAAGATGATGCAGCACAAGGGGACAACAGGACAGCTCCTGTTGCTTAGGTTCGTCTCGGTTTGCAGTTTCTAGTGCAGCGATAGCTATTAATTTAGCTAACAATCTGCTTCATTTTAGCTACATAAGTTTGTTTCTGCCCTATTTTCGTTTCCCCCCACTTTAGTGTAATAACTCAAGTTTCTGCTCTGTAGCTTGAACTTGGGAAATATAAAAGAGAATGATTAACAGACAGAAATTATATCATAAACTCCACAGAAGTTTCCATACAGCCAACATTAAACTGCCTTCACTTAATTACAAGCTTAAAAACAATAAAGAACCGGATTTATTGGAAAGGCAATAGCATTAGCCCAAATCTTGTATCAGCCACACGAGATTCTGGTTATTTAGGTTTTTGTTTATACACAACTTGGATGCAGAGAACAATGCCGCGCCTGCACAAAGCCTTATGAGGCAAAGAAGTAGTACAGAAGTTGGCCAAGTTCAGCAGATGTTTCCTCAATGATTACATGGTCAAGTTGCAGACAGCAGAGTGTTCAGTGAGCACGATCCCTTAACACTTCAAGATCCATCTCCGTAGGGTCAGTAGCCTGAATCTCATAGTGGACACCATCCCAGCTCCCTTCTAAGCCTGTCTTTGCTTGTGGCATAAAGCATTTTAGGATGGATGCGTGAAGATGAAGGGGACCTGACCAACATAATCCAAATATTAAGTAACAAGATCTGATAGTAAAACTCAGCAAATAGGAATGATAAATGTCGGAAGATTGCAAATGTGGCATGATTAACATTAATACCAAAGATGTGCATATTGTGAAAATGAATACAACTGAAGTTTGATGCATAACTTGTGAAAAGGTAATGTCAATGACTCAATATCTCAGCCAAGACAACTTTTAGGTAAATTAAATGTCAGAAAAGACGATGTGATCACAAAAAGTATGCCATGACCATAATCCCCTCTCAAACTAGATGGCTAAAAGTTATATCGTTGTAGCAGACATAATGTCTGCGCACCTAACAGGCTCATCAAACTCCAAACAAATGTTAAGGTGCCTTTGCCAGCCAAGACCATTGTAACTATTGCCATCACATTTTGTTTATTATTGTCCAAACCAACTATAGCTTGGATCAGTAACAAAGATGATTTTGCAACTATGAATTATCAACTAACAAGTGATACTAACTCCTATCAAATAGTTTTTCAAAGACAAGACCAAGATGATTGAGGGAAAAAACTAACCACGCAATAAAGAATATCTTGCTCTTTTGACAATTCTCAGAGGTCACAAAATCAAAGTCGTATACAGCATATCGGCAATCATTCTCAGGCAAAACTGTCATAAAATCATGATAGCTCTCAGCAGGGCCTCCAGTCATCTCCACCACAACCTCCTTTTTCTTCTCATCAATCTTAAAAATCACATAGCGGTAAACCTCCTTCCTCTGCAGTTCAAAAAATGTGTCTTTGCTATGTTCTGGGACATCCATCCCAGACATAGTATTTTGCTGGGAATGAAGGTAGTAGATTACATAATAAATTCATTCATTTCAACACTTAAAATCAATTCAGGCTAACTGCAATTTCCTTATTGTGCAAGAGATTGTTATAACAAATTGTTTCACATGCTACCTCGAACTTACAGTTCAATTTTTCAAAGTAATTATCTTTAAAATCAACAATCATAAATACCCGCATGGGACATTGATGAAATCCAATTTTTATTTGGGTCATCTGCACAAGACAACTTATTGAAGAATCTGGAATCTTAAGAACCTGCAGCAAGCTCAACCGCTCAAGGGCAGATATTCATATTACAAGAACCTCCGTATACACAAATTACTTAAGCAGCTCATAAAAAGAGAAGCAAAATAGAAACCCATTTCATTTTGTTTTCCATGTCTATTTAGAAGGGAAAAAGATTCACCTTAATTATTTGAGAAATATAAATTTAGCTAATTTCTTGCACCAAACAGTAATTCCTGGAAAACAATTTTGACCAATTAACAGGCTAGTTTCTGTTTACCGACGCGAATTCATATCAATTGAATAGCTAAGCAACTAACCCCATAGGATCTACCATCAAAATCTCACAGAGGAAACAAACAGAAAAAGGAAAACCCATGAAATCAACCAATCTGGAAGAACTAATCATACATCAACAACAGCTCTATAAACAGAGCCAGAGAAAAAGAAAGAAATACCCCACTCAGTCCTCTGAACGACATGGCAGCTAAAGGAGTAGGAGAATCTCAGAAGACCAGGTTAGTTCTAAACCCGGAGCTTGAGTTTAGAAATGAAGCAGAAACGGGACAAGAAGAAGCAAAGCAAGAGAAAAGGCAAGTCCGTCGAAACGCTGCATTTTTTTTCCCCCTGGATGAGAGAAAATGTAAAATAAAAAAGTGAAAATCAAGGCGCAAACTAAATTTATTAAGGCTCCTGGCATTCGGACCAATGCATTTTTTTTTTAAAGCTTGTCTTTTAATAATTTGTTCAAAAAAAAAAAATAAATTTATTAAGATATCTAATTATAATTATTATTTAAATAAGATTTTATTTAATTAGTAATTATACTTTATTTAAATAGTAATTATACTTTATTTAAATAATAATTGTGATTATACGCTCATGCTCAATGTAAAAAACTAATTATAGTGCATGGCATCCTTACTGCCATTAAACGGTAACAAGTGTAGGGATGGATTCATACCATGTAAAGTCTTGAATTTACAATTGGCCACAAGTTAAAGAAAGCATTAATAATATTTTTTTAATTAATTTATATAAAAAATAAAAATTAATTTTAAATTTATTAATTATTTTATTAAAATTATTTAAATGGTATTAGTATTAAAAATAATATTTTATTTTTATTTTTTATAAAAATTTATTTTTATTTTTGAAAATGAGGGAATTTAGAGGGAGAGGATTTTTTTTTTATAAAGTTGTATGTGGAAGATCAACTACACTCAAGCACTTGCGGTATGAGTAAGGGTGTTCGTGGTGTGGTTGGTTCGGTTCGAATTTTAATATTTTTTAATTCAATCCAATTTAATCTGTTAGTAAAATTTTTAAACCAATCTAAATTACTATTATATAATAACCAAACCAATCCAATTTAAATCGGATCGGTGTGGTTCGGTCGGATTGATTAATTTTTAACCCTATTAAATATATGAGATAATGTAAATAAATTTAACATTAAGTAAAAAACATAAATATAAAATACATTAATATCCAAATAAATAGAAACATAATTAAAAAAAGTACAAATTATAAACAAATTCTTATACTCTTTTACAATTGTAAAAATTGAAAAAATTTAAAAATTATAAACAAATTCTCAAATTTTTATCTTGATCTCTAAGAATACTCAAAAGAGGACTGCCACCAGCCTCTCAACTTTTTTAATTTTGAATTTGGATGGATATTTATAAGGTTTTAGAAACTCTAATTGGAATAGAAATATAATTTGAAACAGAATAAAAAACTTGAATGTTGGACGCTGAACAAATAGTACTGACACCCTGAATTACGTATCGACACAAAACAGGAAACAAAAAGTTTGATTCTGGACTATTAACCCATGGTATCGACACCCATATTATGTGTTTAAGAATAAACCCAACAAAATGAAGACAAGCTAGATGACAACCCAGTAAAATGAAGACGACGACCTTGGCAAGTGCACGCCACTCAAGAAGGTAGGGTTTTAAGAATAAAGTTGCAA